CGCACGGCTCGCCCTCGTCGGCCGCACACGCCCGGCAGCAGCCGCACGCGTCCGGCGCCACCCCGGCCGGGCATTCGACGGGCGAGGGAGGCGGCGGGCACCGCGACGGGTCGCACGTCTCCGGGCAGCCGACGGCGGCGCGCTTGTAGAGCGACGAGCCGTCAGAGGGGGCGAGCAACGCGCACAGGAGCACCAGCGCGATCATCGTGCGTAGGGCGAGAGAGAACGCGGGGCGGAAGGAAGCAAGACGGCGGTGGTGAGGTCGCAGAAGCTTGGAAAACTAGTGGACAAGTGAAGTTGGACTGCCTTGGTGGGCATTTAAAAGCGCCGCGTAAACACGCCGGCTGATTGGCTTGCACTTGTGACGTTCCCCGGGGGGAGGAGCCACGGACCATTCACCCGTTATATAGCGGAACCCGCATTTTCACGGCTCATCATCCGTGTCTTAACCTGTTCGCAGACACCCCCCTAATTATGTATTTTTCCTGTTTTTTTGTGGAAACCATTTACTCACAGTATTTTCCCACTTCATATTATTATTATTATTTTTAATGGCATTGATGTTGACCGTGAATAACTGGTGGATTCTCACAATTTCCGCTCGGGGCCCAGTTTCCGACCCGCTCTGGAGGACAGTGTACTGATTAGGTGCTAGGAAATGAAGATGATTCACTCATTCCCTACATCCGAATCAATCCCACAGGATTTTCAGTGAACATTTTTTGGTCTACTCCGTGTACTCCATAATCACTACATCGGGATTTGTACAGCGGACATCCAGGGAACTATCTCGCGCACACCAGAAGGAGCGGCACAAAGTGCATTCAGCTGAAGCAAAAAGTGTGACAGAAACTGTTCCATTCATTAAGTTCTGTTTCATTATGTCATGAGTGTGTTTATAGAACATCCAACACTCGTTAAAAAACACGTTACAAAAACACTTGTGTAAGTGAATTTGCGCGATCCTTCTGCACGCGCGCGCGCACACACACACAGACTTGCGTGTTTTATTTTATGAGCTCAGTCATCGCGAGTGAACATACTTTAAGAGTTAGCGATGCAGCGCAGTCCAAGACAACACCCTGTCCTCTGAGCCATGTGCGCGCGTGTAGTGACAACAAATCCATTGAACTTCCAAGCCGCGCGGTTGCCGCTTGTCATCAGAGAACAAAATGTTTGGCTCTGGCGCGGGCCCACCTGGAGGATTCCAGTAAATGGAGGTCCTGCCTTTGCAAGTCACTTTAATGACCCAAATGCACTCTGCCAACCGGGCGCGATTTTTTTTTGCTCCACCGATGACCTCTCGAGTCCAAGAAAAAAAAAAAAGTCCTCAAGTGTGTTGAAGGCCAGTCAAAACACACTCTTCCCGGAAACTCCGCGTGCGCGTGTGCATGCGGCCATCAAATTCCACCAAGCTTGAGTCAGTCGGTAATGATGTCGTTTTGTGTGTGTGTGTGTGTGTGTGTGTGTGTGTGTGTGTGTTAGAGCAGCTCGGGCTCAGAACTTAGCCGAGCTCTACTGTCACCTTTCACCTTGGTTATCTATTTGATATTTTTTTGGGCTTGTTTCTTTTTTCAATTCTTCTTTTTCTGGACTGGACGGCGCGGTGGGCGACTGGCTAGCCCGTCTGCCTCACAGTACAGAGGTGCATTGTTCGATTCCGGCTCCGGCCTTCCTGTGTGGAGTTAGCATGTTCTCCCCGTGCCCGTTTTCTCCGGGTACTCCGGTTTCCTCCCACATTCCAAAAACATGCATGGCAGGTTAACGGAATTGGGTGTTGAGTGTTTTAATAATAAATAAACGCATTTAAAAGGAAACTTTAAATCAGCCAACTGAAAGTAAGAAAAACTTGGTCAACATATTTAACAAACAAAAAGATACTGACGAGTCCCCGCCGTCCTCGAATTAAATCACTCCTGGTCGACATCCATGTCCTCCTTGCTACGTCGCTTCCATAGCGACTCGTCCCCCACCCCCATCTCCTGGACTTGGACGTCTTCCGCGGCAGGCGGGGGTCCGTCGTGGGGCGCAGTGGAGGATGGTGGGCAAGGGAGCTCCTCGCCTAAGTCCAAGTAGAAGGTCGAGGAGGAGACGGCGGGAGAGCTGTCATCCTGCAGGGAAGAGAGCAAGAGATGAGGATGAGGACGATGCTGCTGCTGCAGACGATGACGACGACGATCGAGAAACTCACTGAGCTGGCGGGTCCACGCTGGGCCACGAGAGCGCCGTTGATGGCTTCAATCCAGCTGTCCATTTCCTCTGGACTGTCCGTCTGACAAGCACCCACGCAGACAAGCACAACGCACATAAAAACACAAACATACGTAAGAAGACACAAACATGCACACAGACACGTGTTTACCTGCAAGTAGAAAGTCCTGGAGGAGGTGATCATCTCGAAGAGGTTGTCCCTCATCATCAGCTCACTGCACAACACAAACACAAGCGTCGCATATATTTGCGTGGGTCACTTTCAAGTAGCACGCGTTACAAAAAACGAGAGATCAAGCTCTTGTGGTCGTCGGTTCCCTTGTCTCTTTGACAGACTTGAGTCCGTAGCGCCCTCTGTTGGTGCTATCGAAATGTCAAAGGGAAAAAAAATGCTGGAGGGTGACAACAGGCGCCAGGGAGCATCTTCCGAAGTCTGTTTTGATGGACCTAATGTATGCAGTTTTTCCCCCTCTTAATTCATCACCTTTGTTGACACTCTTGAACTTTGAGGATGTCCTTGAGGAGGATCACACGCAGTGCCCCCCTGTCCTGTGAACACACGCACACACACATGCACAGCAGAAGGCTTTGGATTAACGCACGCACACACACGCGCACGCGCGAGGTCGGTCGGTCGGCAACCCACCGAGTCGGACTTGAAGTAGCGGAGGCTGTTTTGATCCAGCATGAAGTAGCGCCGCTTCCATGTCTTCATCTAACAAACACACACGTGCACGTATGGAAATGACAACGTTCAACGTCAATGCTATCTGTTTGCATGGGACTGCCGTTTTGCATTGGTTGCTAGCATGAAGCTAAGGGTCCCCCCCCGCCCCCCCCCAAAAAAAATCATTTTGGAGTGTCTCACCACAGCTCCCTGTTTGACACAGAATCCCGCCTTGATGACATCCTGGTCCTGGACTTGGCTGGACAGGAAGTAGGGTCTGCCCGAAGCGCCACGCTCTGCCCCGTTCGGCCCGTCCGCCTGCTCCTGCCGCGTAAATGTCCAAACGGGTTTGACGTCTTTCTTATGGATATTACACGACTCGAATTAATTACAAAGCAAAAACTCCCAATCCGTGCCAATCATCAGACTTTTTTTGAAGCTGATGGGAAAGTCTGGAATTCGCTCCTGCGTGTGGAGGCATGCGTACGTACGAATCGGGCGCGCATTCCTTTGCGCACGCCCGGACCCGCCCTGCCTCACCTGAGTGGCCGTGACGATGGGGACTCCGCCGACGATCTCTGTCTTGTAGCAGACGTGCTTCAAGGCTCCCAGGACTTCCTGAGGCGGATCGGCACCCTCGCTGAGCTTTGGCACCTGCGAGCAACCCGGAAATGTGCCACATTTTGTTGTTGTTTTTTTAGAAATGACAAACTTTTAGGGGATGAAATGCAGCAGCCTTTTTGACAGAATAGAGTTGTGTGCTCTGTGACTGCGATGTTTTGCAAAGAGCCATTGATTGAAGGGCTATAATTTGGCATTGATGCTAATTTCAGTTAGCCGATCTATGATGTTTCCTATTATAAGTTAGCAAGACGTGAGTGGGCTTTTGTTTGGACGCCACGCAATGGAATGCTGCATCGAACTTAAGTTTTTGCAAGGCTCACCGTTATCTTAGTGGCGTTGTTGAGAACGGCGATCCACTCCTCCAAGTCCTGTTGGTCATTGGCCTGCAGGTAGAACTTGCGCATCCCAGCGTTTATAACTGCACAGACAGACAACGTGAGAGGTGGGCGCCAGTCACGTGTTTTGAATTCAATTCGTGTCTCAAGGCATAGTTGGACACACACACACACACACACACACACACAAAATAAACAAAACAAAACGCTGAAATGCTGCACAACTGAAGACAACTTTGCACCCACAACCTGAAAATTGCCAATGGAAAATGGAAAGTAGGAACGATACACGGATTGTGCCTTTGTGTCCACATTCAATCAGAAAACTTCTCACCGAAGCAGAAGTCCGCCTTAGGCCTCAGTTTGGCGCCGTTGGTCACCTGTCGGCACGAAAAAAAACAAAAAACAGACAGTTCTGGAAGTGGACTCCGCACACAGGAAGTCCAAAGGATGCAGACAGGAAGTCCAAACGTTTCCAGTTTGTCCTTCGCGTACGCTCACTTACCTTGGAGATGTAGGAGAGGTTGAGACAACCGACATGCTGGGCCCCTTCCGGAAGATTCTGTGCGAGGGAATACACGCGGTACAAAGTCATTCTTGTCGTGGGACACACGCGACACACCTGCACACACCTGCGGGTTGTCCATGTACCACACGAGACTGTCCCGCTGCGCGCTCAGGACGAAGTAACGTCTCAGGAACTTCCCGCTGCCCTCCGCCTCCTCGATGTCCAGGAAGCCGCAGATGCGATTGCGTCGGTCCACGTACGGCATGGCCACAACGTCTGCCGGCTCCGCCCGCCACGTGACATCACAGGTACGCCGCCGGGCAGCCAATCACACGTCGCTGACAACTCACTGGGACTGCCAGATGAGCGCCGGACAACGTCCGGTCACGTCCAAACAGGGAACTGACAGGAAGGGAAATGTACAATGTGATTTTGAGACGCAACAATTATCGATTAATCGATATTAATCAACTATTTTGATCAGGATTTGGAGACTTAAAATTGGTTTAAACCCTCTGATTTTAGCCTCTCAACATTAAACATTGTCTGATTTCTCCCACGACACCAGCAAATAACACATTTTTATTATTTTACTGTGGAAAACAATTGCAATTTTTGCCGATTTAAAACAGATGTTAGAGACCAAACCAGTGACTGAATGAGAATCAATTCACGTGTGTGTGTGTGTGTGTGTGTGTGTGTTCTGCACTGACAATTTGCAATCGTGTGCTGTATTTCAAGAAAGGAATGGGGGCGGGGGGGATTTACATTTTATCGCCGATTAATCGTATCAGTAATCAACAATGTTGTTTTGCCTCAATAGTGAGCTAAATTGTTCTACTAATCCTGTGCAGAAATGTCGTGCAGTCGTGGGGGGAAAAACTTGACCGGTTATAGCCACAGGTGTCAAACTCCGGTCCTCGAGGGCCACTATACTGTTTGTTTGAGGGTGTTTCCCTGATTCACATGATCACAATAGTAAGCAGGCTCCCGAAGAGCTTGCTGATGTGCTGATCATTTGAATCAGGAAAACACAACAAACATGCTAGACCGTCATTGGACAAGTCCGCTGAATTGTCTTACGAGTGAGGACAATGAGCGTAATAAAAGCGGAATAAAAGTTCAACATGCATTCCGTACCTGGCCAAGCGTTGGTGTCTTCAAAACAAAACAAAAAAAAAAGAAAAAAATATGTGAACAACAAATTTGTCGGCAGATGGACGTTGAGTCAAGAAAGCGTCCGAGATTCGTGCGACTTGCGCAATTGCGCTTAGTTCGAGTTGACTTCGTGGGTTCGAATGCTGAACAGGTAGACACGCAGACGAAAGATTTAGATGACGCGTTGAGAGCCGAAAGGTACGGTGACAGCGCTGCCATATTGGATGTGGCCGCGATTTGAGGCCAGAGCCGTTCGGTCCCGCGCTGCTTGGTGCTGTCGTGCGCCTTTCTAGTTCCACTCAACGTCACATCTCACCAGACGTGATGATGACGTCAGGAGCGTAAGTCACACGGGGTCACGTGCCCATTGCGTCAAAATTGCTCCAGCTCACTCTGCTCGAACTCTGCGAATCCCAGCTCCTGTGGAACCCGAACTTGTCATAATTCTATCCAGCGCTGAAGATGAGAGCAACAGGATGGCTTCTTGGGCAGGCACTGCTCACGCTTGGTGCGTGGACAGCTTCTGGTGAGTTCAGACTCATTTGGAATTTCTTTTTCTTTCTTGTATTTATTTAATTGGATTTCAAATTTCATTTCAGTTCAATTTGTGGGCAACTTAATTTTGTCAAATGGAGGGGCTTCCAATCACGGGATGGGGAGGAATTCATTTCAACATTTCACTGCTGATAAAGATAGAAAGGATTTTTTGGGGTGGGCTTTGAAGAGTTTCCTCGAGCAGACTGCTTTGTGAGCTATCACTTCAAAGCGCCACCTACATGTCCTTCAACTTGTCCTCTTTGTGCTTTGTCATCACGTCAGTTGCACAAAAAAAACATTGGCAGTCTCTGCCTGTTTATCAATTAAGAAAGCATTTGGTGTCTTTGAGGATAAATACTGCATACCACAATATGCACCGAAAATCATGCCTTGGAATCTATAAACATAAAGGTATTAGGATATATTGGAAATGCACAAGTTGCACTGCTTAATGAAAAGAAGTGATTGTGAAGTGAATAAACAGAACTCAAAAGTGACTGCAACGATGATCGAGTTGAGCCCACTCACACCAACACTACTCATTTTGGAGACCTTCCCCAATCCGTCACGCTTTTTTCTCGGAGTGTTTATTCCCTCCTTTAGATTTCTACTGTGACCATGGCGACGTGCTGTATGGCAGTTTTTGCTATTTCTTTGGATCGTGGACTGCATCGTGGAGGGATGCTGAGGATTACTGCTTCAATGTATGGAAAGGTCACTTGGCCAGCTTCCACTCAATTGAGGAGGTCAACTTTTTGAAAGGTGAGCACCAAGATTAAGGGCCCTATTTTCATGGCCGCCACATGTCTCGTGCAGAACATATTCTCAAATGTGCGGATTGGTTGAATTTTCTTTCTTTTGGTATTTTCGTAGATGGGGGCACTTAGAAAGTGTAATCGAAAACGCCTTAGTCCGTCGACGCAAGGCGGGCTGCCAAAATCCCAAAGACGATAAGTTAGACTTGCCATGGCTTGAAAATGACGTGCACCTATCTACGAAAATAGAGCGTTGCTTAAGTGCCGCATGGGCATTCCTGACTATGATCCCATAATGCTGCTTGCTGCACAACATCCACAAGGTTGCCTGCCGGTCTTGCACTCAAGCTCATGTCCTCCTTTCCTGAAGCTTGCGCAAAGGGGTATTGGATCTGGGCGGGATTCAGGAGGACTAATGGACACAATTCAGTGTTCACTGATGGAACACCTTCAGTAAGTGAAACCTTTGCAACAAGTCCGAATAAAATTGTCATCTGACCATATTTCTGAACAATATAAGATCCCCAAATGGTTGAAATGAGGGAGTGGGGGGGGGGGGTCACAAAGTGCCCCACAACATCCACAAGGTTGCCTGCCGGTCTTGCACTCAAGCTCATGTCCTCCTTTCCTGAAGCTTGCGCAAAGGGGTATTGGATCTGGGCGGGATTCAGGAGGACTAATGGACACAATTCAGTGTTCACTGATGGAACACCTTCAGTAAGTGAAACCTTTGCAACAAGTCCGAATAAAATTGTCATCTGACCATATTTCTGAACAATATAAGATCCCCAAATGGTTGAAATGAGGGAGTGGGGGGGGGCGGATCACAAAGTGCCCCAGACCTCACTAATGGGGAAAATGTTCTTTAACTGGTGAGAAGCAAGAGAAAGACCTTTTCAATCTGATCAACAGGACTACCTCCCGTGGGGCGAAAATCAGCCGCGCGCGTGGGAGGACGCCAGCTGCGTTCGCATAGGATCGGATGGCCGTCTATATTACTACCTGTGCCACATCGACATACAGTTCATCTGTAAAAAAGGTCCACAATTCATGCCGGTTTACTTCGTATGTCACCAAATAGCCGATGTCAGTTAACCCACTGTGCACGCAAAAGGAAAACCCAGAGAAGCCTTTTTAAGTAAGGGTCGATCTGATCTCACGTGTGACACGTATTGCGTCCGTCCTTGCAGCCGCGAACCGCGGGCCCAATCCTCTCAAGCTATCGGAACCGCAATCAGGTGATGTTACGCACGACAGCCGACACGATCTCGTCTGACGCACCTCGACCTCGGCGACAAGCGGCGTATCGGTTGCAGTTTGGACCGACGCGTGCGGCTGGTGGGCGCACAACCCCTCCAACGACTACTGCTACCTGCTCATGACCGAGTACAAGATGAATTGGGACGATGCGAAAGACTACTGCACCCGAAACGGAGGCAACCTGCTCAGCATCACCGACTTCAACGAACAGGACTTTGTGCAAGGTATGCCGACTGGACTTGTTGCAAATCTGTCAAGTTGATCGCACACAGAAATGTTGAGTCGAGTTTGGCCATTTCTCTCCGTTGGGCCGTGCGGATAAGTGGCGAGCGCTCCGGAACTGCCACGATGGGCTACGGCTTATCCTGAGCCAACCTGACGGTGGTGGAAAATGACTGTCATCTGTAGACTACTTTCAGGTGAGTGTGAATGGGATTTCCCTGTGGACTGGCGGCTACAGCCTCAACGCTGAAGAAAAGTGGAAATGGAGCGACGGATCCAAGATGGAATACATACGCTGGAGCACAGGTTGGTGTCACCGCTGGCTGATGGATGCTTGCAGGCCACAATGTAGAGCGGCAGAGCGCTAGAGATCTCTTCTGGTCTGCTTCCAGGCGAGCCTGAAGACGACAAGCCCGTGCAACGCTGTCTTTCCTGGAACCTTCACAGCCACCGCTGGAAGGAGGACAACTGCGGGAGCGATAGAGGGTTCATCTGCAAGATGAGGTAAAACGAGATATGGCGCCTGCCTGCGCAGGGTGCAGGGGACTGATGGTCTGTCTTTGGTTTTCTTCCAAAAGGTCCATGGCGTAGTGAACATAAGTCCCCTCAGATGAATGAGACGAAAGACAAAATGGCAGATGTGACATGGTCAGAGACTTCGTGCACACAGCTGACCTGCTTGGGACTTGTTTGGTACGGCGACGAAGGGCTCAGCAAAAATGCCTTCGTCGTCTCCATGGGGTGTGATTGTCTTGTCTGTTGGAAATTTCTTCGCAGACATAGTTTACATGTAGCCACAGTAATTATGAATATGATAACGTATTAAATTAATGTCATATTACAGCATACAGTACAATGTATGCAGTGTAACTGCAAAGTATGAGTACCATATATCATGCCATTAAAATATACATGAAATAATTACCAGCCTGTGTACTTTTTTGTTCTCTGTGTATCTCATTTGTGTGCAGTCATGTGGAAGGACAATCTACGGATGTTGCTGAAGTATTTGAACGCCTCATTGGCGTCGAGCGCCATGGTGACGTGCATATAGCGTACAAATACTTCCGGTTACAGTTGTCAGAATAAATGTATCGTCATTTTGCAGACTTGCTACGGCGTGGAATTAAATTATGTTTACATTCCTGGAATTCGCACTTCCATAAATATGTTGATGGGTATTTAAAAGGTTTAATAGAACAAACGCCTGGTCTCGTATTGGTTTATTTTATCTTCCAGATTCTTGTAGAGTTTGACGGAATTTCCGGTCTACTGTCAAACTTGACCTAAATGGGTCCAATGGAATGGAAGGCTTTGGTCGCCCAAGCCGGAGGAAACAATTGTATGTGATTTAATTTCTAGGCTGCACAATTTTTCAGGCCTTCCAGTTTCTGAGTGCGGCCGAGCCGCGTTGGCACCCAAAATTGTTTAGCGTGTGTGGCGTTTGCCATCGAGCACTTTGGCAGCTGCTGCTGCCGGTGTCCGGCCTTGTTTATGCTACGCTTCGGATCAGCCAAGCAGGCCTCCGGTCCGGTCCGATGCCAGTTTAACGCCTCCGCTGGTTTGTCCCCATCGGCCCATTAGCTCACCAAGTAAGCTTTAAAACATTCTTTTAGCTTTATTTGTATGGCTTTATTTTCCCCGGTGTTGTGTGCTTTTCGCGCCGCGGCCCAGAACGACGAGATGGCGTTTATTGTTAGCCGTTAGCTCGCCTCAACGCTAACGCTCAAACGAACAACTTAGGCGGTGGTAAGGATTGTACAAATTGCCGATTTAAGAGCCACCAAATCCTCGCACGTCTTTTCCTCCCCCCAACAAGCACGAGAGGGATCGGGCGCCGTTATTAGCTTTTGGTATGTGGCTAACGTTAGCTTTGTTTGGCCCCACCAATCTGAAAGTTTTTTTTTGTTGTTGTATTTGAGGTCACACAATTTTCGCTCTGTGAAAACCACAGAAGACGGATTCCATTTTATGCTCTCTCTTCGCGGTGATGATGGACCCACATAGCCCAAAAACACCGCTCATGAATGTTCAAATGATCAAATTAATGGTCCAAATCTTAAGTTCTGCCTTTCAACAGTAAATCTTCTCCGATTTATATTTGGGCATTTTCTACACTGTCAAAGAAGGGATGTCACTTCAAAATGTTTTTTTGTTCATTGCGGAATTATCAACAGATTATATATATTTATTTTGTACTTAAATACATAACAGACTGTTTTTTGTTGTTGTTTTTCAATTAGGGTTCGGTTAAGGACCCACTTTGCTCTCAATCATTTTCTTCCACCTCCAGTATTGTGATTGATTTTCAACAAGCTCAGTGAAGAATGACATTTTGAATGCTTGGTCACGCTTAATCTTCCAATCGTTCTGCTTCCTTAGAAAATATGAGCCAGATCCAACAATGACATCCAGATTTGGTAAAACCTACAGCCGTAAGGGAGGAGAGGGTACGTCCAAGTTTGACGAAGTGCTGTCCACCAAGAGGGGCACTCTGAGCACAAAATGGGGGGACACCACCTACAAGGCCAAGGTGGGCTCCAAGCGTGCTGGCCCTCCAAAGGGCTCTTCGTTCCTGGACACTCACAAGCGAGCCCGACTTGGCGGGGGCGGCTCGGACGACCCGTTTGGCTTCGACAGTGATGAGGAGTCGAAGCCGGTGTCCTCTCGCGGCGGTGGCAAGTCATCACCTGCCAAGATGGCCTCAGCGGAAGCCCCAATGGTGGAAAAAGTGGGACTCAGCCCGGACCCCAGAAACTGGTCTAGCTTCCGCGAAGGACTCCACGGCTCAGTGCAGGAGACGTCACGGCCGGGTGGGACGGAGCGTTGTGGCCCCTTCTTCAACAGTGGCCATGCCAGCAAAGGTAATTAGTTAGGCCCAAAGGGTTCTTTAAACGACCGCACAGACGTCACTGCGGAACGTGCCATGCGCAATTTGCCTTTTTACCTGCGAGCAGCCCACATGCGTTGTTTTGAAAATTTTTCAGACATGTCACAGACTTGCCGCGCGGCACAATGCGTCGGTCATGTGATGCAACGGGGGCTGTTTTGCCCGCGCATACGCGGGGGTATAAAGTGGCCATAACCCATCATGGGCCCTCTGTTGATCGTTGTTTTTCAAAGATAATCAGTGCTCCGATTGACTTCGGTCTATTTTACGCGGCACCAGGCATACCCGAGAGCTCCTCGCCGTCTTGGGAGAAGCAACACAGCTACGCGTGGTACCAAAACGCCTCGGAGAGCGACCGGAAGCCTTTGGCGCAGACAGCCACCTTGAAGACCTCCGCCAAGGCCGAGTCCACCTACAGCTCCTGGGACGCCCTGATGGGCTTCCGACCGCCTTCGCCCAGTCAGGAGCTGCGCGCCCCAGCGCTCTCTTGGACTTCGGCGGTCGCGGGGGACAAGCTGCCTTCGCCGTCTCGCCTGCAGAGCCCCGTGGAGAGCCGGGACCCAGATGGCGACTTTGGCTTCGAGACGGCCGACTACTGCCAAACGACGTCGTCTCCTTCGGCCCACGTGCGGAACTCAAACTGTCGGACGTACCGCAGGCCCGGCAAGCGGAACGCCTCCAAAGCTTCGGATTGTGGCGATACGGCGCGGGGTCCGCTCACGTCGGCGTCTGGTGGGGCAGACGCAACGGAGGCGACTCGGAGCAGCAGGACGAGGGATTACACCGTGCTGCACCCTTCCTCTGCCTCCATGTGTAACGTCACCAATCAGGCGGGCGGCGTGAAGGAGTTTACCAGTGAAGCCGCTCCCGCTAGCGATAAGAGCGCTGCTAGCTTCAGCGGTGCCGCCGAGCAGCTCGACGCCACGCGGCAGCGAAAGAGGACCGAGCAACAGCACAGCAGGTACAGACGGCCCACGGCTAGAATGTGATGGTTTTTGCATGTTATTAAAATATTTATTTATTTAAAAAAATAATCCATCATACAATTCATGGAAAAGAAGTCATTTTATTTTCTATAGAAACTTTTCCTTAAAATTGTCAAATATATACATAATAAATATATATAAAAGTATTGATTTACTTGTTTACTTGATTCATTCTTAATCCTTAAACTAACAAAGTACAAAAGTTAATCAAAGCAATTGTTTGTTTTCATTCAACATTGTTTTTTAATGGGTCAATTAATTCAATCCAATTTTAAAGACAAACAAAAGTGCGCACACCCTGTTGGAGCCCATGAGAAGAATGTCAAATCAGGAAAATGTCCTACACGTCATTCTGTGACCTGGACGACATATATTTTCTCTGCTCTTTAGTCAGAACCAGTCCAGATCGAAGAAGGGAACCAAAACGGACCTGTTCGGTTTCGACGAAGTTGACGCCTGCCAAGAAAACGACAACGACGGCTCGTCCAAATACAAAATGAAATACTTTGGTTTCGACGACATGAGCGACAGCGAGGCAGTTGGAGGCGACGACGACGGCGGCGACCGCAGGATGAAAGTGAGAGCGCGCTTCAAGGCGGTTGCCGAGGAAACGGCGCCCGTTGCCTTGGAGGACTCGCACGACGAGCCCGTCAGGAACTGCCGCGCCCTTGAGGGACGCGCCGCCGAGCGGAGCCAAAACTACTCACACAGGCAGGACGGCAGCTTACAAGCAGGTCAGACAAAGTCCCGCGCTGCGAATCATTTCCGTAAAAAAAACGCGCTGCATATAAAAGGTCTGCACAAAACTGCCAATTTTTGGGGGGGATTAAAAAAAAAAAAAAGACACACACAAAGTGGATCGATTTCAACCTGCTCGCATCCGTTTTTGTGATGCTACCGAGGCAAGCGCCATTGCGTGAATATTGCAAGACGAGTGGCCCCGTTGTGAGTTCTATCTTTAGCGTGGCGCGGGCGGCCGGCGTTTGAACACGACGTGATATCTTCCTCCCACTTCTTTTCTTTCTTTTCACCTGAATTGACGCTGCCAGAGTCAGCCGGGCAGCTCCTGGATAGCCTCCCCGCAGACGTGTTGAACTTCTCCGAGGACGATCTGCGGGTGGTGGCCTCCGGCCCCAGGAGGCCCCCCCAGGGCAAGCCGGCCAGCAAGAACCACGACACCCACCGGAGGATCTTCAGTGCACAGAAGAAGGTGAGGGGCGGGGGGGGCGAAAAGTTGCGTTACCGCCATGACGATTCTCATGACTCAAATGATCACGGTTATCGGTACGACCACAATTTCGCATGGAAAAATCACAGCTATCTGCCCCCAAAAACACAACCAAGCAGATGTCGAACATCAGCAAGCCTTTCTCCGTGAACATCATCAACGAAGCGTTATTTTCATAATCGGTTTTCCACGGACTTCTTCTTGTTACATGCAGCACGTTGACGGTCCAGCGCGGCTCATCGGCACGCTGCGCCTTTTATCTCCGTTTATTAACCCTGCCGCGCACCCCCCCTGATATTCACTCGCTCTCTTTTTGTCTCTCATGACGAGTGACAGCTACCGAGCGCACGTTTGGCACCGACACGCACAGATGGCAGCCAAAAGCAAAGAAAGGTTGCTGGCAGGGGATTGGGGGGGGGGGGTCTTATTTTGGGGGTCACGAATCGCAATGGGCTCAAATCAAGCTGAGAGGACTCTTTTTTTTTTTTTTGGCTTCGCGTTCGCCGCCGTGGGCGTTTAAATTCCAAACGCGGCTATTGACTTTCTCAGACGAAAACGGAACAAAAGCACTCCGTTTGACTGGACTTAATAAGAATATACAGTAACGACTGCATTCAACGGATTGAAAAAGAATTCCATCGCTCTTGTCACACTGCATCAATGATGTGCCGTTTGTTCCGGTTTATCCACCGTGGCCACCTGGGGGCAGTATGACGTGGACGGAGCTACTATTCATCGCGGCGTTGTTACGAATCCCACTTGGAGTTGTCCACAGTTTTCATCAAGTTGCGTGCCCTGCGTGCAACACAAGTGAAATTCACAATAATGTCTCAACTCCTCTTAGGTCATCAGTACAGCACTAATATTAGTTGCTCTACGCAGAGGCTCAAGAATATCCGCTCATGTGTGTATCTTGTGTATCTTTGTGTGTTGTAGTCACCAACCAAAGCAGTGTACAACGCCCGCCACTGGACGCTGGAGAGCAAAGAGGAGCCCATTCCGTCCTTCATGTGCCGCCCGCCGGCGACTCCCGTAAGACGCCGACCCGCACGTGTCCTTTTCATCGTCTCCTACCGCCGGCCAATGACATCTCTACGTTCCGCAGGCGCCGCAGCTGTCGGGAGGAGCGTCGACCGACGTGGCGTCGGACGCGCAGAAGGACAACGGCGTCTTCAAAGCGCCGCCTCCTCCTCCCAAGGTCACCAAGTGTGTGCACGTCCCCAGTGACCCCTACCAGGACACCGTCACCACCCTCAAGTGTCGCAAAGAGCACAAGGAGGTACGCGCACTTCTGAGTGTGCGTGAGAGAGAGAGAGTGAGTGTACGTGTGTGTGTGTATTCCTGGTAACTCTTTCCTTCTTGACTTTCGTCAGCTATACACGGTGGTCCAGCACGTGAAGCACTTCAACGACGTGGTGGAGTTTGGCGAGAACCAGGAGTTCACCGACGACTTTGAGTACCTGGCCGCCGGTCTGAAGAGCGGACAACCGCTCAACACGCGCTGCCTCAGGTAGGATGACGGCGAGGCAAAGGTGGTTGCTTCTCTTTAGGTTCACGCGGCCCCCGCGTGTGTGCGTGTGTGTCCGCAGCGTGATCAGTCTGGCGGCGCGCTGCGCCATGCCCAGCTTCAGGATGCACCTGAGGGCACGAGGGAAGGTGGCGCAGGTCTTCAAAACGCTCAACGACGCCCCCCAGCACCATGTAAGTGGCTTCGGCGCCGGGGTTGACTTCCCTTCCCGCTGCAAAATGGTCAAAAGCTGATGAAACGCAAGGCGATTTTGCTTTGTTGGACACAATGGCGTTCTCTGGCGTTTTTTTATTTTTTATTTTTTGAAGGATGATGATTCAGATGGGTATTTTTTTTTTTTTTTTTCCCTTTCCCAACTGGCTTTTGCGGCTGTCTCGCATCGGGCAGAACCTGGCCATGTGCACCGCCTCCCTCATGTACATCCTCAGCCGCGACCGGCTCAACATGGACCTGGACCGCTCCTGCTTGGACCTGATGATCCGGCTGCTGGAGCTGGAGCTGGACCAGGACCACGGCGGCTGCGACCCGGCGTCCCAGCTGAGCGCCAGGGAGATCTGCAAGATGAAGGAGAAGATCCGCAAGCTCTGCGACACGGTGCACAACAAGCACCTGGACTTGCAGAACATCACGGTGCCACGCACGCTTGGACGCACGTGACGTTAATTGACGGGGCCAGCTTGTAACCTTGCAACCCCCCTTTTTGTTCGTCCCCCTGCCTTCCCGCAGACGGGTCACCTGGCCATGGAGACGCTGCTGTCGCTGACGTCCAAGCGGGCGGGTGACTGGTTCAAAGAGGAGCTGCGGCTCCTGGGAGGCCTGGACCACGTCGTGGATAAAGGTTAGACCTCAGAAACCTCTCAGTGTGCGCGCGCGTGTGTGTGTTTCGTCTGTCACCGTCTGCATGTATCTGTCGTTTGGTCCGCCATGTCTATTGGTCAACAAGCGTTTGTGTGCGTGCGACACTAACAAAGTGCGTGTGGCACCCCAGTGAAGGAGTGTGTGGACAACCTGAAAGCGGAGGACGACAAGGAGAAGCTGGTGTCGTCCTTGTGGGGAGCCGAGAGATGTCTGCGCGTGCTGGATAGCGTAAGCGTGGCAGCCATCTTGGCACGTTACCTAACGTGGTGTATCGACCGCAACGTAAATGTGCGTGTGCGTGTGTGTGTTTTTAGGTGACGGTGCACAATGCAGAGAATCAGAACTACTTGATCGCCTACAAAGACTCGTCACTCATCGTGTCCTGTGCCAAGTCAGTAGACAAATAACTGGATTGGTTGTGTGTGTGTGCGTGTGTGTGCGCGCGTGCGCATTTCACATGGGTGAACAGCACAAGCTGCCACCGGCACCACCCAAACAACACGCGTCTTGTTTTCAGTTCTTTCAAGAGATTGTCCTCCTATTTTATATTGCGTTGCATTAACGCCCCACTCGCCGTCTCTCGTCTCCCCGGTTTTGCCCCGTGAGTGACATGACCTTTGAACCGCCAGTTCTGCAGGCCGCCCGAGGATGAGGAGCAGGACGAAGAGTTCGAACGCACCCACAAAGAGCCGCAGTGTCAAGAGGCTGACGCGGGCCCGCGTCTGCTCTGCCGGCCCTTCAGCTGCCTGCTCGCTTAATGCCATTAAGCCGCACAACGCGCGCACACACAAACAGGCAGTGTTTCCTAATTCTTTAACTTGATTTCGCATCGGCTTCCTCCCTCCCTCCCCATTGTCGTATTTGCTACACTCACGACATGTCCAGCTGTCACTCAACCCGTCTCCCGACACCGCACAGCCACCATCCACGACGTGTGTGTCCACGTGGTTTTAAAGCCGCACACATTCAAAGTCGGTGACACCGCCGTGAACGCCGTGACAACCCAGAGTGGACAAAAACAAGCACCTGCGCCTCCGATGCTGTGAAATCGCTGTCGTGGTTGTTTAATAACGCGGTCCAATTTTTAACGCCTCACTCGAATCATCGACCCACCCCGCAGGGCACTGCGGCGCTGCGAAGAGATGATCCGGCGCTACAGCCGGGAGGTCGTCGGCGGCACCCAGTTGAGCGTGGACGGCGGCTCGGTGGTGGCCAAAGCGGTGGAGAACTGCATGAGGGCCATCATTTGCGTTCTGCTCAACCTGACGCACGACAACGGTCAGCGCATGCCCAGGCACGCACATGCACAGGCGTGGAGTTGCGGCGTGTCGTCAGCGTTCGCGTGCGTGCGTGTGTGTGTGTGTGTGCGCAGAGTGGGGCAGCACCAAGACGGGCGAGCAGGACGACTTGATCGGGACGGCGCTCAACTGCGTTCTCAGAGTTCCGCAATACTTCCCACAGGAGAAGAGGTTCGACATCCGCGTTCTGGTGAGCAGTGCGTGTGTGTGTCATTGAATTTGTTGGTGTGCATGTGTGTGGCTGTGCCGATCAAGTATCAATGTGTGTGTTGTAGGGCCTGGGCCTGCTGATCAACCTTGTGGAGTACAGTGCCAGGAACCGCTATTGCCTGATGGAAATGGAGACGGAGGGAGGTCAGGGTCCCTGCGACTCCACCGTGCTTCTCCTGCCTCCGCACCAGCCCGACGTCGTCATCGCCGGCGGTCCGCTGGGCGCCGTAGCAGCGCTCGTGCAGGTACGTGTGGTCATCCCATCCCCGTCGCCAGAAATGAGCCCCTCCTCCCCCGAACCACGAACCCGCCGTCCCCGTCCGTCCTCAGCTGTTCCTCCAGCGAGAGCGAGCGGCCGTCCAAGCCGAGGCGCAGACCGACGACCTCATCAAAGAGCCGGCCAAGCCGGCGGACAAGAGCGGCGAGTGGCAGGAGACGGGCGGCGAGATCCAATGGGTGGCCAACGACAACCACTGCGACGACGCCCAGGAGAAGGACGACAAGGATGAGAAGAAGGAGGAAGAAGACCGCGAGCTGGACCTCAACAAAGGTGAGCTGCCGGCTAAAGACGACATGCTGGAATTTACAACAAGAAAGCAACGAGCTAGAAGATAAAAATGCAACAGGCAGGCATGCGTGAACTTTTGTAGGATGAGGAGGGATTGACAGTTGGAGGGCTGATATTAAAAAACAAATGCCATGCCGAGTATTTTTCCCGAGCGACAAGTGGGCCATGAGCTTAACTGCCCGAGCCCGGATTTGTGGTTCCTCCTCCCTCCGAGATCCCCGCCGGACGCAAGCGGCGTCATCGTGGGCCTTGCGTCGCAAAAAAAAAAAAAATGTGCCAGCGAAAAGCTGAACGCCACAAGCTGGGGTCTCAAAACTGCGTGCGTGCGTGCGTGCGCCTCTTCAGCTCTGCAGCACGCGGGCAAGCACATGGAGGACAGCATCGTGGCGTCGTACACGGCTCTGCTGCTGGGTTGCCTCTGCCAAGGAAGCCCCGTGAGTCCCGCGCGCATCCACCTTGCCGACAGCCCGCTGGACGGTGCAAACCCCCAACGCTAACGCTTTGGCCTGGTGTGTGTCTGTGTGTGTGTGTGTGTGTGTGTGTGTGTGTGTGTGTTAGATGAATGTGACTACTGTGCGAGAGAACTTGCCTCAGGGGGATTTCTCCGTCATGACGGAGATGCTCAAGAAGTTCCTCAACTTCATGAACCTCACAGTGAGTCAGTCGCATTGCCGGACCTGCTTCGAGTCCTTCTCCTCCTCTTCCTCTTCCGCCTTTCCTTTCTCGGGCTCAAATTTGGGCCAAATAATTGTGTGTGTCTTGGCAACGTGTCATCGTTTTGGATGGCGTGTGTGTGAGAGTGTAACTCTTTTTGTCTCCGCAGTGTGACGTCGGCACCGCAGGACAGAAATCCATCGCCAGAGTCATCGACTATTGTGTCTGTGTGTGTATGCATGCACGCACGCATGCACGCACGCATACACACACACACACACACACACACACAGACACACACACAAGCGGTCCATCTCCAGTCAGTATTTTCACTCCTGTGCCGTATTTGGTGCTCCCGGTTCTGACTCCTCAATCAAGCTACTGTTTTATTATTTTTTTAAAAATTAATTTAATGTTTTTTTTTGAAATACATTTTATTTTTTTAAATTTTTTTTTTTTTTTTTTTTTTTAAACTTTAAAGCCACAAACTCGTCCCTGGGCGCCTCCTCATTCGTTAAGTTGGAAGTTTGGCGCGTGGAGAAGAGCCCAAAATGGTTTCCGTTCGGTTTGCGTCATCTCCTTCATCCACGCGTCTCGATCCTCCGTTTTTGCCCTTGAACGAGTGAGTGTCACGTACCTCTTGCCAGGTCACTTCAACATATATATATATTTTTAAATCAAAACTTTTTTTTTTTTTATGGCGCACGTACAACTTGAAACACACTCTTGCCGCTTATCGCGAGCAACTTGCCTGTGCGACTTGCAGTTCCACGCGTGACGCACTTAAGTGGCGTGTGTGACGTATTTGCGTGCCCGCGACTTTAGAAAGTTTTTGTCGACGACCTCGCAGGTTGCGCGTGCGACTTCAGTGCGACATACCGAGTTGTACATTTGACATACAAACTTGCGCGCTTGCAATGCAGAAAACGGCAGTCGCTTCCCCCCCAAATCTTTTTTAAATGCGGAGGTGTCTCTTTAACAGCTTTAAAGGGTCTTTTCTCATTGTCACATTTGGTTTCGATAATCTCAGGATCGTTGCTTTCATTTTTAAAATCACACACACACACACACACACACACACAAACGTTTACAAGAGCTTTATTGAGGAGTGCGGAGGATGTTGGTGTACATAGTTTGTTCATAAGTTGCCGAAGGAGCAGTGCATGATGGGAAGCGGGTGGGTTGGGCCGTGCGGGGAGAGGCCTGGACTACTTTGGAGAATTTTTTTACAGACTTTTTTTTGGGAGGGGGGGTTGGCGTTCCTCCTCCTGCGTGTTGGAAAGTTCTTAACACGGCGACTGCGTTTGTACCGGTCTTTGCTTACGTGTACATACTTGGAGAAAAATAAAAATTGTTACTTTCAGTACCTCCCGCTGGTTTTCCTTTTTGTCGGTTGAAAAAGGAGTTTTTGTTTCGCTGGGAAAACGTGAGATTTTGAAACGGGGCAGAGGGTCAGCATGTTTAAAATTGGTTCTTTTCATCGGAAGAAAAGAGCAGTTCTCATTATTTGTCACGTGACTGCGGTTTTCCTTGCCCACATGCCAGGGGCATGACAGCGGGATGTGAAACTTGCCACAACTTGAAATCATGTCCTGTTTTTCAATAAAGAGATGGAAACAACGTTTTTAAAAAATCTGATGCATTGAAAAAAAGAATAGACCAATACGTAAATTATGAAACTAATAATTAATTTGCATTCCTTTTGTATTCCAAGACACCACTCACTTTTTAAAAAATGTTTGTTTCTCGTAAATCAAAGAACCAATTACGTATGGATGAGCGCATTTCAATTAAAAAAGAAAAAACCTTTACAGTAATTGCAAGAAAGACTTGAGGCACGTTGATGAGCGTCACTGCTCAGTGGGCTCGTCCGTTTTAGGATCTGCGCGACGTGGGAACCAAGCAGGTCTTCGAAGAACAAAATGAACTCCCAGAAGTTGACAAAAGAAATACAGCAGCAGTAAGAGAAGTCCAAAAGTCACTTCAGGCTGGGCGGCGTGTTGTGTGTGTGGTCCTCACAGAATTTGGTGACCGCTCGCCTGGGTCCCTTTTCCAGGGGAGGCGCAGCGTCCCCGTCGCCCTCGTCCTCCTCCTCCGACGCGCCGTGCAGCAACTCGCTGAGCGTGGCGATGTAGATCTGCGCCATCTGCAGCGTCTCGGACTTGGACAACTTCTTGTCGCTTTGCAGCTGCGGGATGACGCTGCGCAGCCGGTCGAAGGCCACGTTGAGGCCGAGCATGCGCCGCCTCTCGCGGGCGTTGGCGGCCAAGCGCCTCCGCCTCTGGGCGCGCTCCGCGGCGCGCGCGTCAGGCGGCGCAGAGACGCGGAGGAGCGCGCCCGCCTCGGGGCCGAGCCGAAGCTGCGCGATGGAGCAAGGAACCCAGGCGGGAGGGCCCGGCTCGTCCTGGGCCCTGGCGCGCACGTCGCTCGGGCGATGGGCCGCGTGCAGTTCAGAGATGAAAGGCGTGAAGAGGCTTCTGCGCGGAGACATCGTCAACTTTCTCTCCGTGGCCGCGGCGGCGTGTGACACCCTCGTGCCCGCCCGCCTCATTTATGCCTGATGGGCGTGTGCGTGCGCGTGTGCGGGTCCACCGCTCGCCAGGAAGTCCATTCGTGCAGTTTGGAGAGTTCATCAAAAGGGGATTAGACGCGCGCGAGTGCGCATGCACGTGCAACCTTGGAACGCCACCAAAGGAGGCGATGAAATTCAAGTGTCACGTGACGTCACGCATTTTCTGTCCCAATACTTTTATCCTTACATTCCACATTTCCATTCTGTTGGTGTTCCAATACTTTTGACCACGTTATCCCAATAATTATTTCCCAACTCCAAATTTTCTTCATTGTTACACGTTTTGTTTGCGTCCCGAAGTACTGGGACACCAACAGAATGAAAACGTGGAATTGTTTTCCACAACTATTGGGACACGTCCGGAGCATGACAATGCGGAGTTTTGGTCCAAACTATCGGGACATGTCCAGAATGAAACTATTGGGCTTTGTCGAACCTTTGTAGTCCGTCCTTGTGTAGCATCCCGCGCGTGGACTGTCGGGTTTGATCTGCGGTGCGAGTCTTACGTCAATGAGCCGTTTGATTGGCTGTAATGAAGCGTGGGCGTGACACCACAGCAGGTGTGTGTGTGTGTGTGTGTTGGGGGGGGGGGGTCATCTCTTGCCTTGGCTGAGGTCATAGTGCCCAACCTGATCAGAACCCGAGTCATCATTGGCTATCCCAAAAGTGAGTTTTCCTTTTTTTTGATATCAAAAGTCCAATGGGCATCTCCTGACGGAGGCCTCACTCAAAACCGCTTGCTGCTTTGGGCTTTGGTGTTGGTGAGCGGCGGTCTTCCTCGGGGTGCTTTGATCGCCCGCCCGCGTCGGCTCATTGCCACCAATGAGCCATTTGATTGGCGGGCCCACGAGTGCCAGCCAAAAGCCGACCGGGGTCGGGGGTCCTCCCTTCTGCTCTGTGCGCCGCCATGCTGCTCGCTTTTGTAAAGGCCGCCCGCGTGGGCTGGCACACGCCCGCGCCTAATCCCCTCATGAGTGCGCCAAAGGGCGCTTCCAAAAGACTCTCACTTCTTGTCACTCATGGTCGCTCCGCCACCGCACCGCACCACGCCGCGCCCATTTTTAATTAAGCACACAAAACACCGATCAGCTCCACTGATGTGATGCTTGGCAGCCGCTGGATGACCTGAGGAGGCTGCATACACACACACACATGCACACACACAGACACACACACACACACACAGATGAAAAAAAATGTTACATTGTCATAGTCTTATTCTTTAATCAAACCTGGAAAAACCTGCCAAAAAAAACCAAAAAACAAAACAAAAACAAAAAAATGTATCGCTTCTCAAATTAAGTAATTGATTCGCAAAACAGATCTGCAAAGAAAAAGGAAATATCTCGAGCCTTGACCATTGTGTGGTCGTTTCTGGTATGGCTGCTGCAATTCGCTCGTTGCCCTCATTGCAAAGGTCAAGGGTCACAAGATGGCCGCCTCACGTTAGACGTGTGAGACGACTACAACGGCAGCAGATTTTGTGAAGCTTTTCAATACATCAGGTCGACTTTTCTGCATGATTTGGAAGCTTGAGATGTCAGCATGGTTTTTCTGTGGTCAAGTCGTCCGCCATCCACAAGCCGCCGAGTCTCGTCTCGAACGTCTCAACAAACAAATGGTAAGTGACACCAACCCCCCCCCGCCGCTACTCCGCTTTAGAAATGGAAACTTTGGAACGTACGCACACGTTCTTGCTGACATGCCGTGTGTCAAATATGTATCGCCCCAGTTCAGGTTCGCCAGCATTTTATTTCATATTTGAAAATCCATTTATAAACATTTTTTTCAGCGTTGAGTTGTACACAACGTTTGTGTGAATACTGCCACTTATACGATTAAATCACAGATGACAATGAGAAAACCAAACGAACAAAAAGAAAAGGCAGCGGCGTCGAATAATTGTGGGGGTGTGTGTAGTAACGCTCCGTGTCCCGCAGAGGGAGCCACGCTCCACCAATCGCCAACAGCGCATGAGCGTGTTGCTTTTCTTTACTAAGACACGGTGTAATTAACGTACGAAGACGTCAAAAGTTAGGGAATGACTTCACCTCTGCTCGGGTGCCAAATCCGTTTATTGTTGTCAAGGTAACCGCCACCTGAAGTACACTCATCACGCTGCGAACCAAACAATCATTTACTGTTGAGTGCTCTCTTGATTAGTGGAACCATAATCCTGATTATTTTCTATGAATGCAAATAATGTTGAACACTATTTTGCGTGGGTGCATTTGAAGATTGAGTTCGTTATTCTTGCAATTGAACTGATGTTGCATTAAAAGTTGCACATTCCTGTTTTTTGTTTTGGTCTATTTGACATTGAAGATCTGATCAGAAACCAAAATAAATCTGAAGTGACCTCAGGGGCTCAGCCCATGTTGTCAGTCAGTCACACAACACATAAAAGGACGCATACGGGCACTGGAAGGAGTGGTCGGCAATCGATCGCCAGCCAATCACAGGTCACCTCCAGACACAAACGTTGAGCAAATTCCACACTGGGCCCAGAATGGAACCCTGCGGGACCTCACAACTGTCACCGCCATGCTAACCACCCAATGCAACGTTTAGCCGCTAATGGTGACCAGTCCTTTGTGTGTCTGCATGGGCACTGCCGATGGCTTGGGAACCCATCCTGGGCCTTGCTCAAAGTCAGCAAGAGAGAAGAAAGGCAGAGAAAGAGCGAAAGGACAGACAGACAGACAGAGAGATGAGTGAAAGAGAGAGCGAGAAAATGAGAGGTTGAGAGAGAGAATGGGTGAGTCAGTGTACTGTCCCTGTGAGAGGCCCCCCTCTCACTCTCCCTCGCTCTCTCGCTCACTCTCTCTCTCTCGTCACTGTAGCGAGAGGCACAGCGTGCGGAGCAAGCCTCTTGCCTCTTCTTCCTCCTCCTCCTCCTCCTCATCCTGGTGGCTCAGCTGCTTTTCTTCCTCCGCAGTCCGGAAGCTTCTCCTTCTTCTTACTCTTCATTCTCTTTTTTTTGTGTTCTTTTTTTTTCTCCCCCTCCTCCTCCCGCTTCCTGCATCCCCACTTTGGATTGCTTTCCTTTTCCTTGCCTGCGTTTCTCCCCAATTTGTTCCTTTTTTTTTCCTTGTTCTTTTTTTTGCGCACTGAGGACGCGTCGGCGGCTGGTGTCTGGGTGCGTGCGTGCGTGCGTACACGCGCGTGCGTGCACGCGGCCATGGATCTCCGCATGCTGCTTGCGCTGCGCGCGTGCTTGTTGCTGTTCCGCGGAGCGACGCTGCGTGCCGACTCCATCATTCACATTGGTAAGGCAGCATATACACTCCCTCTTATTTTTCTTATGGGGGGGGAGGATCATGCGGTACGGTCCTGATGGTGCCTGGCAGTGTGGGGTGGGGGGGTGAAGGGGTACAGCCCCCCCCCCTCTCGTTGGTGCGTGAGAAGGGTGTCCCCCCCCCCCCCCCTCTCGTTGGTGCGTGATGAGGAAGACAAGCTGTTGCTCAGTCATTCATTCATCCGCCAGTGGGCTTCATTCAAAGTGTTGCAGGCTTTGTGGAAGCACGAATGAGAGCGACGCGCTTGATTTGCCGTTCTCAACCTGAAATAGGAGGCAACACGCTAAATGACAGGTGTCAAATGTGGTGTAAATATGCCACTCCGCTGATGTGTTCACTGGAAGGAGGACAGAAAGATGCGACATATTGTGACATAAAGTAATGAAGTAGATGCATCAAGGCGAAATACGATGCTGAGTGAACTGTAATGGAAAAAAAAAGTCATGTAAGTGTGCTACACTGCAGAAGAATGAACCAGAAATATGGCGCAAATATGCTGCATTACAGATGTTTACTGTAGAGACATAGTTGATGTAACTCTGCCAAGTTTCAATAGAAAATGGGGTGTAAACACCACATAACAGCGATACACCAAATAAACGAGTTGTTTCGCCGCAAATTATTTTCTTGTATGACAAAAGTCACGTCATGACGTCCGGTGGTGCAGATTAATTAACGTACGAAGACGTCAAAAGTTAGGGAATGACTTCACCTCTGCTCGGGTGCCAAATCCGTTTATTGTTGTCAAGGTAACCGCCACCTGAAGTACACTCATCACGCTGCGAACCAAACAATCATTTACTGTTGAGTGCTCTCTTGATTAGTGGAACCATAATCCTGATTATTTTCTATGAATGCAAATAATGTTGAACACTATTTTGCGTGGGTGCATTTGAAGATTGAGTTCGTTATTCTTGCAATTGAACTGATGTTGCATTAAAAGTTGCACATTCCTGTTTTTTGTTTTGGTCTATTTGACATTGAAGATCTGATCAGAAACCAAAATAAATCTGAAGTGACCTCAGGGGCTCAGCCCATGTTGTCAGTCAGTCACACAACACATAAAAGGACGCATACGGGCACTGGAAGGAGTGGTCGGCAATCGATCGCCAGCCAATCACAGGTCACCTCCAGACACAAACGTTGAGCAAATTCCACACTGGGCCCAGAATGGAACCCTGCGGGACCTCACAACTGTCACCGCCATGCTAACCACCCAATGCAACGTTTAGCCGCTAATGGTGACCAGTCCTTTGTGTGTCTGCATGGGCACTGCCGATGGCTTGGGAACCCATCCTGGGCCTTGCTCAAAGTCAGCAAGAGAGAAGAAAGGCAGAGAAAGAGCGAAAGGACAGACAGACAGACAGAGAGATGAGTGAAAGAGAGAGCGAGAAAATGAGAGGTTGAGAGAGAGAATGGGTGAGTCAGTGTACTGTCCCTGTGAGAGGCCCCCCTCTCACTCTCCCTCGCTCTCTCGCTCGCTCTCTCTCTCTCGTCACTGTAGCGAGAGGCACAGCGTGCGGAGCAAGCCTCTTGCCTCTTCTTCCTCCTCCTCCTCCTCCTCATCCTGGTGGCTCAGCTGCTTTTCTTCCTCCGCAGTCCGGAAGCTTCTCCTTCTTCTTACTCTTCATTCTCTTTTTTTTGTGTTCTTTTTTTTTCTCCCCCTCCTCCTCCCGCTTCCTGCATCCCCACTTTGGATTGCTTTCCTTTTCCTTGCCTGCGTTTCTCCCCAATTTGTTCCTTTTTTTTTCCTTGTTCTTTTTTTTGCGCACTGAGGACGCGTCGGCGGCTGGTGTCTGGGTGCGTGCGTGCGTGCGTACACGCGCGTGCGTGCACGCGGCCATGGATCTCCGCATGCTGCTTGCGCTGCGCGCGTGCTTGTTGCTGTTCCGCGGAGCGACGCTGCGTGCCGACTCCATCATTCACATTGGTAAGGCAGCATATACACTCCCTCTTATTTTTCTTATGGGGGGGGAGGATCATGCGGTACGGTCCTGATGGTGCCTGGCAGTGTGGGGTGGGGGGGTGAAGGGGTACAGCCCCCCCCCCTCTCGTTGGTGCGTGATGAGGAAGACAAGCTGTTGCTCAGTCATTCATTCATCCGCCAGTCGGCTTCATTCAAAGTGTTGCAGGCTTTGTGGAAGCACGAATGAGAGCGACGCGCTTGATTTGCCGTTCTCAACCTGAAATAGGAGGCAACACGCTAAATGACAGGTGTCAAATGTGGTGTAAATATGCCACTCCGCTGATGTGTTCACTGGAAGGAGGACAGAAAGATGCGACATATTGTGACATAAAGTAATGAAGTAGATGCATCAAGGCGAAATACGATGCTGAGTGAACTGTAATGGAAAAAAAAAGTCATGTAAGTGTGCTACACTGCAGAAGAATGAACCAGAAATATGGCGCAAATATGCTGCATTACAGATGTTTACTGTAGAGACATAGTTGATGTAACTCTGCCAAGTGTCAATAGAAAATGGGGTGTAAACACCACATAACAGCGATACACCAAATAAACGAGTTGTTTCGCCGCAAATTATTTTCTTGTATGACAAAAGTCACGTCATGACGTCCGGTGGTGCAGATGCTTGGATGTTTATTGTTGTCGTGGTAACCACCACCTTGTTTCGTGAGACAAACATTTTGTCCTGGTTAAGTTGTCGCAAGCTGATAATGAGCGTAATCAGTAGACTGCACGCCCAGGACTGGTCGCCATGTCGTTGGCAGGGCACAAAACGGACCGGTCGTCCAAAGAGCACCGGCGAGACTCCGTTCAATTTACCGAGGTCACTTTTGAGATTAATTCCAGTTGTCAGAGTCGCTTGAATGCTCCGGACTGGTCGGCGGTCGGTCACGGGGGCACATAAGGACAAACAATGGGCCACTCCCTCGCCAATGTTTCTCTCTCTCTCTCTCGCTCTCTTTTGGCCGCGAGGGAACCAGGCGCAACTTTGAGCAGGACGTGCGCCTCATCTTAAGCCACTCATGACAAAGAGGACAAACGGCCACTGTTGGCGCCTGGCGAGCTGCTCGGTCACACTTTGTCATCAAACGCAGTTCAAAGGGGGGCGGGGCTTGGACAGGAAGCGCGATGATGACACACACACACACACATGCAAGAATCTGGTTTGGTCGAGCTGCAGGGGAAGGTAGAAGTGCCAATCAAGAGTCACTTGTGACGTTCCCTTTTGACAGCATGTCGTCATCGCACGTGCAACTAAAAAAACTGCAATTTCTGCGCTTGGAGGGATCCACCCAGAAAGACTTGGGACAAGATGGTGGCCGGAATGGCGAGGAGAAGATGATGGATGATCCTTTCCGGCTGATCGACTGACGATGACAGTTGATCAATAGCACGAACGCGGCGCCGTCAACCGGTTGATGAGACGCATTTGACCCGGCCGGTTCTTGTCGACGACATCTGCATCGACAAAACACAGCAAACCACAACAACAACCGCAAGAAATTGTCAGACGCATCGGGAGCTTTCATGCTCGTAGAACTGCTCAGTGGAACCGCACAAGTAGACCAGAACCAGAACCAGAAGCGGAAACCGAAGTGCAGCTAGCTTCGCTTTGGCTCTTCTTCCAGCTTTGGTTCGAGACTCATCCGGGTTGCGATCTGTTGCTCCGCTTCGATTGAAATTTTTTTGGGCTTCTGACGCGCTCGTCCTTGTCATCCAGGCGCCATCTTTGAGGAGAACGCAGCCCGAGACGACGAAGTGTTCCAGCTGGCTGTGTCCGACCTCAGCCTGAGCGACGACGTGCTGCAGAGTGAGAAGATCACGCACTCCATCAAACTCATCGAACCCAACAACCCTTTCCAGGCCGTGCAAGAAGGTAAGCGGCGCGCTTCGACCCCAACGCTTGGGTTGCGATCTGACGCTTCTGCTTGAAGTTCGAACATTCGGCTTGGCTCTGATTCCGCTTCTGATTCTTGTCGTGGATTTTTGTCGCTTTGCTTCTGCTTCTACTTCCGGGTATAGTCTTGGTACCGCTGCTAGCTTAGCTCTGATTCTGATGCTGATACGAGCTGATGCGGACGGATGCTGGAATGTCTGATGCTGATGCTGATGTTGCCATGGCGACAGCCATGAACACACCTTTCAAGTTCCGTGACAGTCGCGATGATGACAAACTTGTTCCTCGTGGTGCCACTGCAGGGGATCGTAAGGCAGCTTCCGCAGACCTTACCGATCATCTGATCATTTTGGGGGGGGGGGGGGGAGCAGGACTGGAGACCCCCGGCTGTACTTGATCAGAATTAGAGAATGATTTTTTTTTTTTTTTTTTGTACCGCGCCGTCTTTCCACCCCACCCGCACACCCCCAAATTAGCTGCTTTGTTTGAAAAAAGTGCTGGTTAATAGTCAGACAAAGGAGGCTGATTGTCAGACGGTGATCCATGCGAGTGGGCCCCATTATGTCCAATTAGAGCAAAACGTTTTTTTTTTTCCTCCCTTTCCTGTGCTTCTTTTCTCCATCTGATGACGTTTCCACATTTCTTTTTCCCCTTATTCATGAGCGTGCGCTTGTATTAATTGATAGATTTATTTTTTTTACTCACCAATGTCGTCCTGAAACAAACAGTTGTGGTGAGCGTGATCATCATTTGGAGACTGGCAATGAATCAGTCGCCGGTCATTGTCGGGGCACGTCGAGGGAAAACAATCAAATAAAAAAAACGGCAGATAGGGTCTTTGAAAACGGGACCGTATTTGTAACAAGTAAAAATGAGTCGCAATGGAGCTGCTGATGATGATTTTTTTAGTTTGTTTGTCCGGCTATGAGAACCTTGTAAAAGATTGTGACACGTGCGCGTCCTCAAGACAATTCACGACGGTTTGTTATTCCCCGGGGAAGCCGCAGCGAGCGGGAGCAAAACATGCCAGAGGACCCGGCGGACAAACCTGGCCTCCGTTAGCACGTTAGCATGTTTAATTCATCCGCCGCCGCCGCCGCTGCCGCGTGTAGACGTCTCATCATTGCAGCTTACAAAGTGGCTGAGGAAGACGAGGGAAGATGAAATGTAGCCATGACCAAGCGCACGCGCTGAAACGCATGCACTGGCTGGTGATGTCAGCTTTGTTGACTGTCTGAGTTACTTTTCGTGTCACTCAAATTTCATTTTTTTTTTTTTTTTTTTGTGTCCTGGT